ATTCAACTTTCATCTATTTATGGAATCAAAGAAGAACTGGAAGCGACATGTTCGCGGGAGCAATACCTTTCTAAACACTTTTCTTTTCGTACTTATTTACTATAGTTTGCTGCTTGATACTTACTTCTCTCTGTTCTGTTTCTTTTCTTGTGGTGACCAAAGATCATTGCGAACCTTCTCGCTTAAATGCCCGATAAATTCTGTGTGTGGGTGTGAAAAACTATTAATTGTAGACTCAGCTGAACATTGAAAATTTTGTTTATTTGAACTATTGTATTTACCCAACAAATATAAACAGTGTTTATATTTACCGAACACACATGCAATCGTGGACTAACCCTAACCCTAACCCTAACAAATTCCCACGTGAGCAACAAACTAAATTTTAACGATATTGAGAATGCCGATTCTGCAGTTATCCTGTATATTGTTGATCAAAGACATTCTGTGATATATATTTTCTAACAGTAACATTCACTGCAAAAGCCCTATGCACATAACGTGACTTCCTGAGGAAGTCCCAGAAGTGTAGTAGAAAGTTTTAAAATAGCTGCAAATGAGTTTCTATTCCTTTGACAGCTTCTGTAATATTCCTCGTGGGATAGTTTTGCTTATAGCATTGACTAGCATGATTGAGATAAAAAAAAACCCCTTTATTTGCCTTGAATGTTGGTGACTATTTGAATCAGAGGCTGATCGTTTTTGCATCGTAGCTTTGTGCACAATTGATACCTTCCAAAATGTGATTTTCTTGCACAACTAAGGTTACCTTTTGCTTAAAATACTACTACAACTCAGTCTTATTTACAGCTCAGCTCAGCTCAGTTTTGTAACTGAGGTACGTTAGAATAAAACTGTAACTGTAGGTTCAGATGGAATATTCATTTCTTGTCTTATTTACCCGAATTTTACTTTATTTACCTAATGAATGCAAAGCATTCAAAGCTACTAAATAAGCGACCAGATTTTTTAAGAGCACACTTTGATCAGAAATTTGATTGCAACTCAGTTAATCATA